AAGACAATAGGGTAATGAAGGTCTGGGGCAGAGGAGGAGCAGGGTCAATGGGGAAAAAATAAGGGACATATATAATATTTTCAACAATAAAGATTTAAAATAAATATACCATATGAAAAAAGTAAACTACCCCAAAAACCAGTATTATATGAAATATAAAATATTAATATTTACATATTTATATTTAATAAAAATTATATATATTTTAAAGATTTTTAAAGGAAAGATCAATTCCAAAGTTCTGTATCCTTGGAACCTAACATTCCAAATCAAAGAAATTTCTGTTAAAAGGGCTATAACTACCATAAGAAAAAAACATGATGTTTTCAAATTATATTACTGCCCTTCTACCAAATCCTTATGTAGTTATTTGTTGAATGCAAAATTATATAACTATTTGATAAAATAAATAGTGTTAGCACTAAGAGCACACATTGAAATGACTCAGTTGAATTTCAAAAGTTAAAAAATTTGATGCTTCATACCAGGACATGCAAATATTTTTTTTACTTTACTTTATAGATGGATCACTGTTTCATCTGATTTCTTTTTTAAAATATATTTTTATTGATTTCAGAGAGGAGGGGAGAGGGAGAGAGAGATAGAAACATCAATGAGAGAGAATCATTGATCAGCTGCCTCCTGCACACCCCACATTGGGGATTGAGCCTACAACCCAGGAAACTGCCCTGACCGTGAATCCATGATCTCCTGGTTCATAGGTCAACAATCAACCACTGAGCCGTGCCCCCTAGGTTCACCTGATTTCTTAATTGTCTATGCTCCACAGAGGTTAAGGACCCAAATATCTGCATTTTAGAGGTTAATCTGGACAGTACAGCCATTTCACATTGCCTTTGTCTCATGTAGAACGACCACCAATCAGACACTATCCCCTAGTGGCAATACAACCAAAGGCAGGCTTCCTTCTCTGAAGCTGAAATAGCCTGTCACCCTATAAACTTATTAAAGATCTCATAACATAAAAATAATTAAGGATTTCAGATTCATTTACATTTTGAAATGTCTCTTCTAAAAACATTTCCCATACAAATCACTATCAGTTTAGATCAGCATTTTTTGTCAAAAAAGAAATCTGTTGTTTTCAAGGGCTACTAATATTTCTGATATCAGAGAATTCTAGAGGTCAGAAATGAAACAGAGAATACCTTATTAAGGATCTTCTAGAAGTAAATGAGGCAGCCTTTTTCAGTCCAACATAAAAGAGAGTCATTCTAAAGTTGGGGTTAATAGGTAAAGAACTGGCAGAAATGCCAAATAGAATAGCATCTAAACAGAAGACTCATGTCTAGAGGAGTCTGTATTAAACCAGAGCTTTTATAACATGGCAGTTAAAATACAGATGAATGAGATGGGACAGTCCTGAAATTACAGACTAGGGAAGACACTCTGTAAATTGGAGAAGTTAGAGTATGAACTTAACAAAGGTTTTAGGAAATAAACAGTTGGTTTACATAGAGCACCTAATAACTCTCCTAATATGGACATATTACAGTTTGGAAGTTTAATAAGCAAATTTTCATTCCTAACCTCTGGGAAACTATAATGTATAAGTATTTAATGGACACATGAAATGTCCCTAGGGACTCATGTGAAGTATTTACAAAAAGATCTATTTCAAGTGGGAGAAACCCTCATCAGAATGTGATAACAAGAGTATGACCTTTGCCAGGCCAACCCAGCTCAGAGGTTGAGAACCAACCTATGAACCAGGGGGTCATGTTTTGGTGCCCAGTCAGGGCATATGCCCAGGGTTCTGGACTTGATCCCCAGCAGGAGGATCCCCAAGCAGGAGGCAGCCGACCAATCTCTTTCATCACTGATGTTTGTATCTCTCTTTCTCTCTCCCTTCCTCTCTGAAATCAATCCTATATAATAAAAGCCTAATATGCTAAGTGTTTGGCTGTCCAGTCAGCCATTAAACCAATCAAACCATAATATGCTGACATGCTAAGGCCGCTCAACCGCTCACTATGACATGCTCTGACCACCAGGGGGCAGATGCTTAGACCAGTAGGTTAGCTTGCTGCTGGGGTCCAGCCGATCGGGACTGAGCGACACAGGCCGGGCATGCCCTGGAACCTTACTGTGGTCCCTCCCTGGCTGGCCAACCTCCCATGTATCTCCCTGGTCCCAATCATACACTGGTGGGGTCCCTCAACCTGGTCTGTGCCCTCTCGCAATGCAGGACTCCTCAGGGGATTGTTGGAGAGCTGGTTTTGGCTCGATCCCATAGACCAGGCCAAGGCATCCCACTGGTGCATGAATTTGTGCACCGGGCCTCTAGTAAAAATGTATTATAAAAAGAGTATGACCTTAGCTTACTTCACAACTAGGACCCCTATGATTTGTAGAAAAGTATCACAGTGCAGGGGTAAATCTCTCTTGTAGAATTTTGGAAACAGGCACTCTACTAGGAATAGGGCAGGCATATTACCACTAGCACCAAGACTAAAATAGGGATAACTCATGCTCTTACTTCTTCCCAAGAGCCAAGTGTCCTACAGGGGTCCTTTTGAGGAAATTAGCTAAAACACCATAAATATAAAAAATAAGGATGGATTCTTTCTAGAGAAGACCATCTAAAGACTATAGAGACCACCCCACCAAAAACAAAACAAATTTTAAAAAAATACAAGCTTCGATGTTAAAACAGAAAAATAAGGTACAGAGAATTACCTAACTTGTCCAAGTTTATGCCCAGGCAACCTGGTTCTACATTCTGAGTTCTTACCACCACACTATGCTCAATGAGCTAACAAGTTAAGAAGAATGAGCAAGAAATACTAGGAAGTCCCAACCATGGGTAACTGGCAGGTGTTTTGTGTGTTTTTTTCATGTATTCTTAATTGTGGTTTTTATGTATATTATATGCATTTTCTGCCAGTTATATAACACCTTTGCTATCAGGATGTGTTTTATAATCAATAGTAATCTAAATTAAATGAAATACAGTAAGTTTGTAAAATGAAATTAAATTCTTTGCTAAAACAGATAAAGAGTTTGCAAACTACACACCACAGAGCTCTGAAGGTCAGTCATCTCAGACAGGGAGCATGGCAGGCTAAGGAACCTTTCAATTCAACAAAATCAGTTTCATTTTTATCTTTTTCCCTTATTTGAAGGGGGCATTCATATATGCTACTATCAAGGAAAAAACTCCACTGATTAAAAAAAACAAAACTAGAAAATCATGGAACCATGATTAATAAATTATTAATATTCCCAGTCAGGGACATACAGGAGGCAGCCAATCAATGATTCTCTCTCATCATTGATGTTTCTAACTCTCTCTCCCTCTCTCTCTCTCTCTCTTTTTTTTTTTTTTAATTTTTAAAAATTTTTAAAGAGCACCCTGAGGAGAACTACTATTTCCTATTTATTATTCTTTGGATTTCCAGAATATGGAATATAGTGGAACCAACAGGGATTGATCTGTGATTAAGTATAATTACACAGAAAAAAAAAAAGAGGTGACTCAAACATCTCAAGCCTGATCATCTCACTGAGGTGCCAATGAGAAGAATGTAAGTTTGCCTGGGAGATTTTAAAATTCAGAAATCTACAGAATATCCAGGTATCCTGTCCATAAACAGTTAAAACACAGGTTTGGTGCTCCATAAAGAGTGTGCAGACACAGATATGAATTTGAGCATCGCCATGTATGCTGTATTGGTGAGAGCTGAAATCATGTGGGTAAATGAGGTCACTGAGCATGATCAGAGCCCAGCTCACAATCTAGTAATCCTAAGGCAAAGATGGGACTCAACAGAGATAGAGCAAGAACAATCAGAGTTAAGAGAGGTATTATGTGACTCTAGGAAGGTACACATTTCAAAAAACTTTTAGAATATGGTGCCAAATGATAGAAGGTTAGTTAGTATGAAGACTGCTAGGTCTGGTAACTGGGTTATCACTGGTTGATAAACATTTAATTAGAATGGGTAACATTGATAACAGATTGGATTGAGCCCTGGCCAATGTAGCTCAGTTGGTTGGGCATCATTCCACGCACTGAAATGCTGTCGATCTCTGGTCAGGACACACGCAAGGGGTTTTGGGCTTGATCCCCAGTGGGGTGCATGCAAGAGGCAGCTGTTCAATGTTCATTGTCACATCGATGTTTCTCTCTCTGTTCCTCCTTCTTTCTCTCTAAAAATCATAAAAATATATTGTTGTTTTTAAAAGAAAATTTCCTTTTATAAAAGGAATAGATTGGGTTGAAAAATAAATGGAAAACAGAAAGACAAGAGTGTGAGTATAGATCACTTTGTTCAGAAAGTTTGGCAATAAAGAGAAGGTGTGAGAGGCATTAGTAGCTTGACAGGTCATTAGGTTGAAGGAAGTATGCACTTTTTTTTTGTTTTGTTTTGTTTTTTATTAATCTTCACCCAAGGATACTTTTCCATTGATGTTTTTTAGAGAAAGTAGAAGGGAGAAGAGGAGAGAAAGAAACATTGGCCTGAGAGACACATGGACCAGCTGCCTTCTGCACATGTCCCACTTGGAGCATGGAACAAACCCATAACCAAGGTATGTCCTTGACTGACCTGTAACCATTCAGTCCACAGGTCGTCATTCCAACCATTGTGCCACACCAGCCAGGATGAAAGTATGCATGTTTTGTACGTTATCTTTTTTTATATGACTTATGTCTAGATATTCTATAAGCAAAGACTGCTTTCAGTATTCTTATAGTACCTGCTAGATTATATAATAAAAACAGCAACATTACTAAATCATTGTTTAGAATGCAAGATATATCTCATATAATTCACTAAATATTAATTAAAATCCCAGTGTAAAAGGGAAAGCACTAGATCGAACCAGATAGCCATTAAATTCAAGTTATTCACTTATACAGAGTGACTGTTTAAAAGAGGCCATGCCCTGTTATGTAATTCACAGGGCCTCTGGGCAACACTGGGAATGCATTAAGATATATTCCTTCACCCTGGGTCCCACAAGGACATACTCACCTCCATAATAGAGTCCTGTAGCAGTGCACATCCGCCACTGTCCCTGATACATGCCTGCTCTGCTAGGGCTGCACATCTGGACGCTGACGTCTGCAATCTCTTGGGGCTCTAGTGATCTCACCATCACCATGTTCACATGTCCAAACTGGTCTCCCCCGACATATTTAAGACAAACCCCTGGAGGCCAGGCCTCTGCCCCTGAGTTTAAGCAAAAGGAAAAAATGTTAAGCAATCAGTGGGTACAAAGCCATAGAAGGAGACTCTTTCTTTGTCTCTCAGACATGTAATTCTACCCACATATCCCTAAGCTATAGAACTTCTCACATGACTAATCAGAGGGAATTATCAAAGTAAACAACCTAAGAGAGGGTACATACAGCAAAAGCAAGGCAGTTCCTTAAGATATATTTAAAGTGACCCTAGGGGAGGCCAAACATCAAACTTAATCTGTAGAATCTAAGAATGATATATGTGCCCTGAGTTGTGTTGCTCAATAGTTAGAGCATCAGAGTGTGCAATGAAGGATCATAGGTTCAATTCTTGGGTTGCAGGTTCAATCCCCAGCCCGTTAAGATACATGCAAGGCAATTAACCCATGTGTCTCTCTAACATCAATGTCTGTCTCTGTCTCTCTGTCTCTCCCTCTTCCTTCCCCTTCCTCCTTTCCATTATCTCTAAAAATCAATGGAGCCCTAACCGGTTTGGCTCAGTGAATAGAGCGTCGGCCTGTAGACTGAAGGGTCCCAGGTTTGATTCCAGTCAAGGGCACATGCCCCAAGTTGCAGGCTCAATCCCCAGTAGGAGGCTTGCAGAAGGTAGCCATTCAATGATTCTCTCTCATCATTAATGTTTCTACCTCTCTCTCCCTTCCTATTGATATTTAAAATCAATAAAAATATATTTTTAAAAAGTCAATAGGAAAATATCCTCAGGTAAGGATTAACAGAGAATGATTTATGTAAAGAGCCATTACAAGCAGCACCGGGCCACATCTTTGGATGCTTTCTCTACTAATAGGTAACACACGGTCAATTTTCACTAGCATTTTCAGCTGAAATTCATAGTAAAAATATGTCTGACTCTCCCCAGTTTTTTTCACCCAGGCAAGAAGATGAAACACATAGGAAGTAATTTCTATGATACTGTTTACACTTCAAAATTGCTTTTTTGCCCAGCCTGAGTGGCTGAAGTGGTTGAGCATCATTCATCCTGTGCACCCGAAAGGTTATAGGTTCTATTCCAGTTAGGGCACACACCTGGGTTGTGGGTTCAATCCCTGGTTAGGGCTCATATAGGAGGCAACGGATCAATGTTTCTCTCTCACAGTGATGTTTCTCTCTCTCACCCTCACCCCTCTTCTCTTTCTAAAATAACATAAAAACATATCCTAGTAAGAGGACTAAAATAAAAATAATTTTCTAAAAGAGGTATCAAATGAAAGTTTCATGTGCAGGTTCAAACTGAAGTAGTGGGGAAAATAGGAACAGTGCGATAAATTTCCCACAAAGAAGTGTGTGTAATGCCATCAGCCAGAGGGCAGGAATGTCAGTACAGAGAAATGGTTTGGCAGGAATGCCTTTCCTCTTTTGGAAGTGGCTAAGAACTTATTTGGTACCTACTCCTGTGTACCTATTTTCATGTAAACTAATGCAAATGAGAAATCTATATATTGGCTTGATCTAACTAGTCATAGGTAGCCACATAGTGACTAGATTTTTCCTGTGAAGTCTCTCCAATACATTCCTTTTTACTCTAGATTTCCTTTTTGAGGAATCCATACATTCAATATACAAATAAATCACATGAAAAGGTGAATATGGCAGGGCTCTCAGGACACATCATGCTTGAAATTTACTTCCTAACAGTATTCTAGGGTGCTTCACTATCTTGTTCTAGAACTGTCATGGTGTTTTTAAAATACATAATGGCTTGCTATTGAAAAGAGAACCAGAGAGAAAATCAACCAGCACTCTACTGCTGAGATCTCAGCCTCAGCCCCATAATGAACAGCATCCTCTGTGGCACCTGGCTCTGAAGGGATAACAGATGAAACAGTGGCAGTATGTTTTGTCCCAACTTCTTAAACACACACACACACAGACACACACACACACACACACACAAAAAAAAAAAAACCTGCTAGCAAAGTATCCTCTTAAGTATATACTACAGAAAGCCCCTGTGGCTGGTGCAAAGGTTGTGAGTGATACCCTGGTAATATATGCGAATTCTGTTTTTCATTTATGGGCCTGTGTCCTGGCAAAAGCATACCTGTCTATGTCAAGAGCAGTAGCAACTGACATGAAGCATCTTGGAAAATGTTGATTTCTTTAAAGACCAAGATCCAAGTGGGAAGTTAAACTACTGTTATAAAGCTGAATTCACAATTATTCTTTTACATACACACACACCCCAGTAACAAGACAATATTTGTTTATATGAAAATCCAAGAATGTGTCTGTTTTTGAACCTCTAAGAAAATAAGAAAAACCAAGACTGTCTGGATATGGGAAATACTTGGCTGTCCAGAGCAGACAACCACAAGAAGCATGCATATGATTAAGGCTGTGATTCTTTAGCTGTCACGGAATTACATTTTATTTAAAAATATTTTAAAAAACCTATTATTATATTGTGATTTTGAGATGATGGGAGTGCATAGCAAAAATGAAATGAAAGTCAATCAGTTCTAGAAAGCCTGGGCATGTGATTATAGGAAGTGTTTGGAGACAGTAAGGAACATTCAAAGAGCAATGCAGAAGTCAATAAATCTCAGTAAAGATCGCCTATTCTTTTAACCCCATAAATTTAAAAACTACATTTCAAATGAAGTGACATAAAAACAGGAATCTTCATTAATTTTGTTACCATATTCCCCCTGTACCTGATAAACTGACTAAAACATAAAAATTTGTGGAATGAATGAAGTGGAATGCTATCTATAATCATACTGAAGAGAGAGGTAAAAAACTTACTATTTTAAGGAGCCAAAAGAAAAATGGAGGAATATTTATTCTTTCTTAAGTTCTTCTTCCAACTCTTTTATATTCACTTCTATGTAGTTCAAAAGATAAAGATGCCTCTAATGGCACTCTCATAGGACAACCACATCTACTTCACGAAGTCAGAGAAACGCCAGAGCTCTCACTACATGCTCAGCTAAATTCACTACACCTGGACGAGAACATGGTTACAACAACTGAGAAGCTAGCTGTGTGTGCTGCTAAAGAGTATTATCTATAATACATTCATCTTTAAGGGACAGCTTCAAATATTCACTTTAAACTCCAATGTAGTTTCCTGCTCAAGTTTCCCAAGCTTCTAACATGCAAATAGTGACAACAAAGTTTGGATCGTGGGATTTTGTATCTATGTCATTAAAAGTCTCACTTCTATTTTTCTGTGTTCTAAATAAAAGAATTTAAACAGTATTAGGAGTTTAATTGTAAACAATGTGTGACATTTATCTCCTTTGAAGAAGGTGCTGAGACAACTATGTGCAATTTCTATTAATCTCTTCTGTTGTATATTTGAATGCCTGGCATACCTAAAACATGACAGCAGAGAAGAAACATGAAAATCATTTGTGAAACTTTCAGTGAGCACTATCTCTTAGGGAAGATTATGAATGAGAGTAAGAGAGCCAGAGGAGAAACAGTAAAGGCCTGCCCTACTTCTGTGTGGCTACTGTAGTTCCAGAGAGAACTGAAGCCAGATTAGGATGATGCCAAAGAGCCAGTGCCCATGCGCACTTTTCCTCTCTTTAATAACACACCTGTCAGTTATAGGCCAGATTCTCCTTACTCAGATGGAAAGCATTTAGCTTATAGACAGAAAAACTATTTTATGACTGGCTGAACAAATTCCAGAAGAATAAAAAAAAAAAACTATTGTTCAAAGTACCTTGAAGGGTAAAATCTCTAGCAATTGTTGCCCAACTTTTCAAGAGGGGTTCAAGAACAAAAATGCCTTTTACAGAAAAAAGGCTACAGACCCAGAGGCTGTTTGAAAGTGGAGTTACTATATAAAAACAGAAGGAAAAGGCAGCCAGGCTCACTAATACAGATTTTCTCCAAATCAAAGTGAAAGGCAGGCGCTGTTGGGTTCTGATTTTACAGTCTAGCCATTTTTTGTTAACCTTCCCAAACCCTCCCATTAATCCAAGTGAGTGTCTAGTAAATGAGCAGATATATCAAGAGGTTTTCAAAAGATAAAATGGTTCTTCAACAAGGCAGCATTTAAATTATTTCAACAGTACTCTTAACAACTTTCAATATTTAAAAGCACTAAAACAAACTCATGGAAGGTCAGACCATTTTTACTATAAGTAAATAAGGTCTTAGATTAATTTTTTTAAACTTTTGAATAGTTCATAATTTCTAAACAAGCGTCACTCATTTAAAAATTTCATGAGTAACTTTCAAAGCATTTTTTGATAAGTAATAACAGGTTTTAGTAATACTACAATCATTTCTCCTATGGGGAAATGAATAGAAGCCGACTTTTCAAGAGGGGTTCAAGAACAAAAATGAGATTGTTTTTATATTTTAAAAGCACGCAAGCCTTAGCTGGCTTTGCTCAGTGGATAGTGTTGGCCTGCGGATTGAAGGGTCCCAGATTCAATTCCAGTCAAAGGCACATGCCAGGGTTTCGGCCTCTATCCCCAATAGGGGGCGTGCAGAAGGCAGCTGATCAATGATTCTCTCCCCTTCTCTCTCCCTCTCTGAAATCAACAAAAATATGTTTTAAAAGCATGCGATATTAAGAAAGAATTTAGGGCCAAAACCGGTTTGGCTCAATGTATAGAGCATCAGCCTCCAGACTGAAAGGTCCCAGGTTCGATTCCGGTCAAGGGCATGTACAATGGTTGCGGGCACATCCCCGGCAGGGTTGTGCAGGAGGCAGCTGGTCGATGTTTCTCTCTCATCGACATTTCTAGCTCTCTATCCCTCTTCCTTCCTCTCTGTGGAAAATTAATAAAATAAAGGAAGGAAGGAAGGAAGGAAGGAAGGAAGGAAGGAAGGAAGGAAGGAAGGAAGGAAGGAAGGAAGGAAGGAAGGAAGGAAGGAAGGAATAAATTAGGCAAAGTAAAGATAATCAAACTTCAAACAAGTAAGAATTTCAAGAATATAAAAAACATGGGTATTTTCTTATATTACCCTGCCTCTCAAACTAACAATGTACCATATTGTAACAACCAAAAGGGAAAAGAAGCCAATGAAAATTTCATATAGCCACAGATGTCTCCAGTCATCTACAACATTAGGTCAATCCAAATTATGTGTGTTTGCTCCGTGACACAGTGAACTTGCATCCAAGGGAAAGTTACTTCTAAATAAGCCAGGAGAACAAAGATTAACAACTTGGTACATTTTGTTATCATATAAAAAGATAGCTTAGCCAAACTTTTCCAATCATAAAAGAAATATAAAGAACTGAAAAGTAGTCAATAAAAACTCACTTTTATAGGGGTTTGAGCCCCCAGAATTTTACATAGGTCATCATACCAGTAAAGAAATGCTTCATCATGTATAAGAAAAATCTGAGTAATACAATCACATTTCTAAAACATTTACTTAACAACTGAAGAAAAAAAAAGAAAACTGGACAAGGAGAATTGCCAATTATACATTTACCAGAATTCTGGATCCGCCATGTTTTTATAAACTGAGTATCAGGAGGTATGGACTCCCCTTCTCCTATGGTGACATCTTCAACAAAAGACATAGAGGGCATACTGATGTTTGGGCTCTCGAAGTCATAATAGGCGCCAATTGCTGCTTGAAGGTTCCTACAAATAAAGAGAAAAGATAAAGATTCAGTCCTATTCACAGCATATCATCCTAATTGTCAAACAAAAGAAATAAGCCAGTTTCTTAGGGTTTGTAATAGCCATTGATTTTGGCTGAGGAACAACAGGAAAAACACCAGGACAATGAACTTGAACACCACTTTCTTCCCAAGGTGCCCACATAAAAAGCAACAAACACGGCCCTGACCAGTGTAGCTCAGTTGGTCAGATGCAGTTCCGCACACTAAGAAGTGGCCGTTCAATTCCCAGTAGGGCACATACTAGGGTTGCAGCGTCAGTACCCAGTTGGGGCGCTGCAGGAGGCAACTGATAGATGTTTCTCTTTCACATAGATGTCTCTCTCTCTCCTCCTCCCTCTCCTCCTCTCTTTCTATTAAAAAAAAAAAAAAAAAAAAAAAAACAACTAACATTTTAAGAGGCAACAAATATTACCACCATCAGCTACAATATGAAGAAATTTTCTAACCCACAAGGATAGCAAGTATGGGTACAGCAAGTCAAAGAGAACTCCTCTGGCAACTATGACTGAATTCAAAGCAGCTCCATTTTTTAAAACATTTTAGTTTTTTAAAAAAATAAATAAATAAAAGCAATATATACACATAGTTTAAGAAGTTCTATACAGTGAAAGATACCCATCTTATCTCTTATTTCCTACACACTCATAATCATTCATATAACTTTCTTAAATATCTTTCCAGAACTTCCTTATGCACAAATAATATATATTATTTTACCCCTTTTTACAGAAGTAGCAAGATATTAGACACTGCTCTTTGCTTTATTGCCTCAACACTGTAACATTTCTATGTCAGTACATAATGAGTATCCTTACTGTTTTTAATATCTGTGTCCATTTTATAGATACATCATTATTTATGTAACCAGTCCACTTCTGAGACTGTTTCCAAGCTTTAATTCTTTCATAAATAAGCTTATGAACTCAGCAAGTGCATCTATAGGATAAATTCCTCTAAGTGATACTGCTGGGTCAAAGGGTATATGTTTATGGTTTTAATATATATCTAAACTTCCCTCAATAAGTTATTCATTTAATGAATGCTCCCACCAAGAATGTATGAGTGTCCGTTTCCCTACTTGCACATCAACAGTATTTCTCCAACATTTTTGATTTTTGTCAATCTGATAGATAAAAAAAATCTCGATATCTTAAAATGGTTTCTCTTCTTGTGTGAGAGAGTATCTTTTACATATTTATGAGACATTTGTATTTTCTTTTTGGGAAGCACCATTTCTTACTCACAAACCCCCTAAGGTCACAAGGAACTACCAAGCACACAAACCAGAGTCCCTTACTGAACAAAATCACATGACTGAAAGCTTGGTATATCAGTGCCAGAAACCAAAGGCCACTGCAGTGGTTTAAGTAAGCCGTGTTCATTATAGAGATAAAGGAACTTATCAGTAATTATATTAACTGCTTCTCCATGGTCTTACTCAAACTAGTGACATCATTCCTTGTCCCCTCAATAGGCAACAATATAAATTGCATTTTTTCTAAGTATAACCCAACCATAAGCCAATGGGTCCAGTGAATTGTCTTTAATTACACATAAACATAGCATGAAATAAGGTCTGACATAGTATATGTAGTCTGACGTTCAACAGACATGCTATCAACAGCAATACTTTTTCTGCTGGGGGGCCTGCTGCTCCTCCAGGTGTTTGCATCAGCCAGAAAGACTGGCTATTTTTAGAGCAGCCACCTCAGGTCATGCAATGGCGGCCTCCTGCTACATTAGTCAGTAATGCCTGGAATAACAACACCACCAGCTGTGAGCCAGTTCTTTGTGTGCTAGATAAAATTTACATGGAGCAGAGCTGGGCCTGGGGCCAAACTGTGTCCATTTGCTTGACTATTCAATGGGAAGGCTTGTACTTTAGTCACCCTGCAACCTCCAGATCCAGCTGACTGTGATCCAAAGTGAAGGATGTATGATTGGTCAATGTTGGGGAAGCCCCGCCTCTCCTTCCCACAATTAGGAATACATCCAGAATCAGCCTTTCACTTAGGGACTGGAGGGCGATAAAGATAAGCCGGTTCATTTTGTTCTTCTGAAACTTTTTACAGAGATTTTTTTTTTTTTTTTTTTTGGCCTGGCAAAGTGGTTCAGTTGATTCAGCATCCTCCCAAGCACTGAAAGGTTGCTTCCCAGATAAGGCACATACCTGGGTTGAGGGTTTGATCGCGTCAGGGAAGCATACAGAAGGCAACTACGGAAGGCAACTGATAAAGGGCCGATATTGCTCACATCAATGTTTTCTTTCTCTCTCTTCCTCCCTTCCTCACTCTCCCCTCCTCTAAGCATGTCCTTCGATAAGAATTTTTTTTTTTAAAGATCATTTTTCTGCTTCTAGTCTATAGCAAGTAGCCTGCTGACTTGTTTTCTATTCACTTGGCTATAAAATACACTTGGGAGAGAAGAAACTGCACTCAGGACCAACTGCCAAGTCTCATCCCCAGTCTGTGTCATATTTCATCTCCGGCTCTGCCTGGCATCAGACAGAATTTTGAGACCACTGCAGCAGAAACACAAGTTGAAAAGTCCAACAACTCTCCTTAGACAGATTCATTCCCCTTCTCAAATCTTGCACACATTCCAATTCATCCCACAGCCAAGCCAACAAATTTGTTATTTGTACTTATTTAGGTAATGCAGCCAGAGAAAGATTTTTAAAGCCCAAAGTGAAACTGAAATTAGTGAACTCGACTTCTGGCAGAAAGCAGAGGGACGATGACAAAGCAAATTTATTTCCCAAGTGCACAGAGAGTGGACTTCAGTCCAGTGGCGCTCTGAGGTACACAGCTCAAAAATGTGGGTGCATGGCTCCTCTGCACCTGGACCACTTTGATCACTGACTCACTGGGTCAAGAAATAGCAGGAACAGACCAAACATCCCCAATTCATTATAAGATCAAGTAGCCATGATAGCATGTATTCCCATTCAGAACAACATACTCAACTATTATTAACCAACTAGAGGCCCGATGTGCGAGCCTCGGCAGGGGGAGAGGCCACGGGTGGTTGGTTGGCCCCCAAACCCATCTGCTGGTCAAACTCCAGGTGGAACTCCCAGTGGAGGGACAATTTGCACATTTGCCTTTTATTATATAGGATAAGGAATTCTATGTGAAACAGCTGACTGAGATGAGAAAGGAAAAACATTGACTCAGTATTCAGCTCAGCCTGAAAGTTTAAACTTCCAGGTTCCTTTAAGGCTTTAAAAAAAAAAAAAAAAAAAAGGAGGTTTTAATCTGATTTCAGATGGTTATAAGAACAAAGGGGGCAGTGTAACAGTGGAGGAAAAAGGCACAGGCTAAAATAAATGATGGTTACAGTTGCACAACACTGTGAATATATTTAATGCTACAGAACTAGACACTTAAAGATGATTAAAATGGCCATGGCCAGTATGGCTCAGTTGGTTGAGTGTTGTCCAGAGCATCCAAGGGTCACCAATTTAGGCCACATGGGAGAAGCAACCGATCAATGTTTCTCTCACATCAATGCGCGCGCCTCTCTCTCTCTCTCTCTCTCTCTCTCTCTCTCTCTCTCCTTTTCTCTTGATCTAAAATCAGTAAGAACATATTTTTTTTTAATGGTAAAATTTAAAAGTGACATTTTTGAAGAGGCAGCTCCTACCTCTGGGCTTTAAAGTGGCTAAGCATCTATGTCAGATTATTCAACTGCAAACCTGAGTTTTTTGTATTCTAAGACAGGCTTATATTTCATATTGCAAGGTTGGCATTATAAGGTCGGCTGTGAAGGCTGCATCAGACAATGTGTGTAAATGTACCAGTTGTATTTCATTCATTTAACAAATATTTAATTAATGAGCATTTATTCATGTGCTAGGCACTCTACTTGGAACCAACGATATAACAGATAGCAGCACAGGAAAAGCCCCTGCCTCTGAGAAAAGATTTTGTAGGAAACCATGGACCGCAAACAAGGAAAACTCCAACTGTCAACTGCCTCTCACGCAGAGGCTATCAGTCCAAGGCAACTTTTTCTACTTGGGCTGAAAAGATGGGCTTGGTGCACAATACAATTTCAACTGCACTGATTATCAGCTTAACACAATTCAAGAGTAAACGAATTTGGTGATGTTGATATGTGTTCCCCAATGAAATGCAATTTTGTAACTTAGAAGCAATATTGCCTAACCTTCATTTTATGAAGACACAGATGAACTGACAGGTAAATGATTTACTAATTGCTCTTGGCTATTAGTAAAATTTACTATTATTTATAATTTTTATTATAGAATCAGTTATTAATATAATTTTGAACCATATATATTCAAAAACATAATACTTTTTAACTTACCTGGAATTTTCTAATTATCAAATAACACTCTGAACATCTGATTTTCTTAAGAACACATTCATTTCCATTGTGAATTCTATAAACACAATACTTTAACCTTCTTGTTAAGCTGAATTCTTGAAAGTGGTCAAATAATGTTGCATGTATTTACAAAGAGAACATTTATTTTTGTACTCTGTATACATATATAAGTCATATTATTGGTCTTATAAAGTAATCTATATATTGAATATACAGTCAGGAACATCACCCAAAAATATGGGGGTAAAAACAGTTGAAGTCAGGAAATCAGAATTTAAAAAAGGAATGCCAGAAGTCTGAGTATTAGCTCAGATTTTCAAGGACATATAATTAGATACTTTCTATTTCCATTCTCTGATTAGGAAATTCAAAATGATACAAATAATGAGAAAGAGAAAACAACCCATCTTGTCTGGTTACAAATTAAAATGGGAAATCAGAGTAATGATCTAATCTAATGAAGCATGGATAATAAATAACATCTTTGGGCATAAAGCAACACTCATCCCAAAGCTTCCCTCCCCAGGATTAGGAGGAAGAAAAACCTGACTAAAAAAAAGGATCAGCAAAGCAGATGGTGGTTCTTACTAGAGCTTTCCAACATCA